AAACAGTCAAGGAGCAAAAAGATAGTTTATGCCAAATACAACAATTTTACAAGAATCTGTATAGTAGTAAGGATAATCTTTTAACAGATGTAAATCTGAACATTATATTTGAAAATCTACATACACCAAAATTAAATAATGCGTAAAGCGCAAAGCTAGAAGGGAACATTACATATGCCGAAACCGTATCTGGGTAAATCATTAAAAAATAACAAATCCCCAGGATCAGACGGGTTTTCTGCCGAATTTTACATTTTTTTGGTCAAACTTGGGAGTTTTTCTAATAAGGTCCTTGAATAACGGATATGAACAAGGATCATTATCAATTACTCAAAAACTTGGTATTATCTCTATGTTACCAAAAGGGGAAAGCCTAGGGAATTCCTCAAGAACTGAAGGCCCATATCACTTTTAAATGTTTCTTACAAAATTGTATCTACATGTTTAGCAAAAAGGATGAAATTGGTCCTTGACAAATTGATACATGAAAATCAAAAAGGATTATAGCAGGCAGATATACCCGCCTACTATATACTATCATTCTAATCCTATTATTAATAGATTTTGAGAAGGCGTTTGACTCCGTGTCATGGCAGTTTAGACACAAAGTCCTATAGTTTTTTAAGTTTGGACCTGAATTTACTAATTGGGTTAAAGTTTTATGTAATGATGCAAAGCTTTGTGTACTTCAAAGCGGATTTTTTTCTTCCTTCTACAACATAGGCCGTGGCTGTCGACAAGGCGACCCAATCTCACCCTATCTATTTATCCTATGTGTTGAGATTATGGAAATCCTTATAAGAACTAATAAAGACATCCAGGGTATCAAAATCATTAGTAAAGAATACAGATTATTTCAGTATGCACACGATACCAGAATTTTCTTAACCGGTACCGAAAAATCTCTTATGGACCAATTTTCAAACTATTCAGGGTTAACACCAAACTTTGATAAAACAAAAGCAGTTTGAATTGGGGCTAGACAAAATGCGCAAGTTAAATTTTGTACAGAGTGGAATTTGGAGTGGACAAATGAACCTTTCACAGTTTTGGGTGTAACCTTTAGCAGCTTCATTGACAACACTTCAACTAAGTATGCGAGTTTTCAAAGATGATGATGATAAGATTTCGGGTGCTTCATTACATGAACCGTTTGCAGCTCCATGCTTATGTGTGTATTCAAAGTACAAACGAAAATCACTTTTGTTTAAACTTTTGCCTTTTAATCACTCTTCAACAGTTTTTTTTTACTAAGATCCATTTATATAATATCTGAATAGATTTCAGTCAATATAATGATGCAAGCTTGTCCTGTTATTGAGATGTTTTCAGAATTAGTCTCAAACCAGTCAATTTTGTAACGCCTCTCTGCAATTAAAATGTCTCTATAACACCATCACGAATATACCTATTACTTATAGGTTTTTAGTTCACATCTAACAAATTTCCAGTTTATCCACTTCCAGGTTTTTATATTACATCTAATTATCTTTCCTAATTCTCAGCCTTTTCTTTGTAGAATTCCTTAAGCCAATCCAGATCAGAGTCTTCAAGTATGTAGGGACTGACAGCTTGTTCACTTTTCTCATCAAATTTCGGACCCACAGCCCACAGAGTTTCAAGGTCATATTTCTCTCTCACCTCTTCCTTAAACACATGCAGGATGATGTTACCTGCAAAGTAAAAGTTAATTAAAATATATTGCAAAAATTGCTGACATAACTTAAAAACAAGAGGCCCAATGGGCCTGAATCGCTCACCTGGTATTAATGTCACACTTGTAATCTTAAAAGTGGACTAAAATACAGCTACAGGCAGAATATCAGTGTTTGATTCATAAGAACCTATTAAAAGATTTAAACATATGACGCCTGTGACCTTGAATGTCCAACAAGGACATTAGGTTGAACAGAGTTTAAAGTCTTCCAACCCAGCATGCTTTTGGCAAAATATCATAACCCTGTACCTATTGGTTATACAGAATATAAGTCAAGGTCGTTCATTCGAACAAACTTGGTAGCCCTTCATCAAAGCATGCTACTGGCCAAATAGCATCATCTTATGCCTTTTGGTTATTGAGAAGAAGTTGTTTAAAGGTCTTTAACATATTTGACCCCTGTGACCTTGAATATAAGTCAAGGTCATTCATTCAAACAAACTTGGAAGCCCTTCATCACAGCATGCTACTGGCCAACTAGCATCATCCTAGGCCTTTTGGTTATTGAGAAGAAGTTGTTTAAAGGCCTTTAACATATTTGACCCCTGTGACCTTGAATATAAGTAAAGGTCATTCATTTGAAAAAACTTGATAGCCCTTCGTTCTAGCATGTTACTGGACAAATATCATTAGTCTAGGCCTCTTAGTTATTCAGAAGAAGTTGTTTAAAGGTTTTAAACATATTTGACCCCTGTGACCTTGAATATAAGTAAAGGTCATTCATTTGAAAAAACTTGTTAGCCCTTCGTTCTAGCATGTTACTGGCCAAATATCATTAGTCTAGGCCTCTTAGTTATTCAGAAGAAGTTGTATAAAGATTTTTTAAGACAATTGACCTGTGACCTTGAAAAAGGACGAAGGTTATTCATTTGAACAAACTTGGTAGCCCTTCATCCCAGCATACCACTTGCCAAAAATCATCACTCTGGACATTTTGGTTATTCAGTAGAAGTTGTTTAAAGTGTTTAACATATTTGACTCATGTGACCTTGACTATAAGTAAAGGTCATTTATTTAAACAAACTTGGTAGCCTTTATCCTTGTTTGCTTCTGGCCAAATTTTATCACTCTAGGCCTTTTGGTTATTAAGAAGAAGTTGTTTAAAGTAAAATAACCAGACGACGGACGACAGACGATGGCCAGACGGACGACGGACGCTGCACCATCGCATAAGCTCACTTGGCCCTTCGGGCCAGGTGAGCTAAAAATGAATTGGCTTTCAGCAACATTGCTGAGGACACTTTATACATGGGTGGAAAATGAAGACAGCTGGAAGCTATAGACGGATGGTATTTTTTAGAAGGGTGGTTGTTATATACAGGTAGTGGTTATTTACAGGTAGGTATTATGCAAACGTGGTAAATGTAGTAATAGACAGGTGGTAATAATAGAAAGTAGTAGCTATAGACTGGTGGTAGTAACAGAAAGCAGTAGCTATAGACAGGTGATAATAATAGAAAGTAGTAGCTATAGACAGGTGGTAATAATAGAAAGCAGTAGCTATAGACAGGTGGTAATAATAGAAAGTGGTAGCTATAGACAGGTGGTAGTAATAGAAAGTAGTAGCTATAGACAGGTGGTAGTAATATAAAGCAGTAGCTACAGACAGGTGGTAGTAATAAAAAGTAGTAGCTACAGACAGGTGGTAATAATAGAAAGCAGTAGCTATAGACAGTTGGTAGTAATAGAAAGTAGTAATTATAGACAGGTGGTAATAATAGAAAGTAGCTATAGACAGGTGGTAATAATAGAAAGCAGTAATTATAGACAGGTGGTAATAATAGAAAGCCGTAGCTATAGACAGGTGGTAATAATAGAAAGGCGTAGCTATAGACAGGTGGTAATAATAGAAAGTAGTAGTTATAGACAGGTGGTAATAATAGAAAGTAGTAGCTATAGACAGGTGGAAATAATAGAAAGTAGTAGCTATAGAGAGGTGGTAATAATAGAAAGTAGTAGCTATAGACAGGTGGTAATAATAGAAAGTAGTAACAACAGACAAGTGGTAATAATAGAAAGTAGTAGCTATAGACAGGTGGTAACAATAGAAAGTAGTAGCTATAGAGAGGTGGTAATAATAGAAAGTAGTAGCTATAGACAGGTGGTAATAATAGAAAGCAGTAGCTATAGAAAAGTGGTAATAATAGAAAGTATTAACAACAGACAAGTGGTGATAATAGAAAATAGTAGCTATAGACAGGTGGGAATAATAGAAAGTCGTATCTATAGACTGGGGGTAATGGTAGAAAGTAGTAGCTATAGACTGGTGGTAATAGAAAGTAGTAGATATAGACAGGAGGTAATAATAGAAAGTAGTAGTTATAGACAGGTGGTAATAATATAAAGTAGTAGCAATAGAGAGGTGGTAATAATAGAAAGTAGTTACTAGACAGGTGGTAATAATAGATAGTATAGTAGCTATAAACAGGTGGTAATAATAGAAAGTAGTAGCTATAGACAGGTGGTAATAATAAAAAGTAGTAAATAAAGACAGGTGGTAATAATAGAAAGTAGTAGCTATAGACAGGTGGTAATAATAGAAAGTCGTATCTATAGACTGGTGGTAATGGTAGAAAGTAGTAGCAATAGACAGATGGTAATAATAGAAAGTAGTAGCTATAGACAGGTGGTAATAATAGAAAGTAGTAGCTATAGACTGGTGGTAATAATAGAAAGTAGTTAATATAGACAGGTGGTAATAATAGAAAGTAGTAGCTATAGACAGGTGGTAATAATAGAAAGTAGTAGCTATAGACAGGTGGTAATAATAGAAAGTAGTATCTATAGACTGGTGGTAATGGTAGAAAGTAGTAGCTATAGACAGATGGTAATAATAGAAAGTAGTAACTATAGACAGGTGGTAGTAATATAAAGTAGTAGTTAAAGACTGGTGGTAATAATAGAAAGTAGTAGCTATAAACAGGTAGTAATAATAGAAAGTAGTAGTTATAGACTGGTGGTAATAATAGAAAGTAGTAGCTAAAGACAGGTGGTAATAATAGAGAGTAAAGTAGCTATAAACAGGTAGTAATAATAGAAAGTAGTAGCTATAGACAGGTGGTAAAAATAGAAAGTAGTAGCTATAGACTGGTGGTAATAATAGAAAGTAGTGGCTATAGACAGGTGGTAATAAGAGAGAGTAGTAGTTATAGACAGGTATAGAAAGTAGTAGTTAAAGACTGGTGGTAATAATAGAAAGTAGTAATAACAGACAAGTGGTAATAAAAGAAAGTAGTAGCTATAGACAGATGGTAATAATAGAAAGTAGTAGTTATATACAGGTGGTAATAATAGAAAGTCGTAACTATACACAGGTGATAATAATAGAAAGTAGTAGCTAAAGACAGGTGGTAATAATAGAGAGGAAAGTAGCTATAAACAGGTAGTAATAATAGAAAGTAGTAGTTATATACAGGTGGTAATAATAGAAAGGAGTAGCTATAGACAGATGGTAATAATAGAAAGTAGTAGATATAGACTGGTGGTAATAATAGTAAGTAGTAGATATAGACAGGTGGAAATAATAGAAAGTAGTAGCTATTATAGAGAGGTGGTAATAATAGAAAGTAGTTACTAGACAGGTGGTAATAATAGAGAGTATAGTAGCTATAAACAGGTGGTAATAATAGAAAGTTGTAGCTATAGACAGGTGGTAACAATAGAAAGTAGTAGCTATAGACAGGTTGTAATAATAGAAAGTAGTAACAACAGACACGTGGTAATAATAGAAAGTAGTGGCTATAGACAGGTGGTAATAATAAAAGTAGTAGCTATAGACAGGGGGTAATAATAGAAAGTAGTAATAACAGACAAGTGGTAATAAAAGAAAGTAGTAGCTATAGACAGATGGTAATAATAGAAAGTAGTAGTTATAGACTGGTGGTAATAATAGTAAGTAGTAGATATAGACAGGTGGAAATAATAGAAAGTAGTAGCTATAGACAGGTGGTAATAACAGAAAGTAGTAGCTATAGACAGGTGGTAATAATAGAGAGTAGTAGTTATAGACAGGTGGTAATAACAGAAAGTAGTAGCTATAGACAGGTGGTAGTAATAGTAGCTATAGACAGGTGGTAATAATAGAAAGTAGTAGCTATAGACAGGTGGGAATAATAGAAAGTAGTAGCTATATAGACAGGTGGTAATAATAGAAAGTAGTAGCAATAGACAGGTGGTAATAATAGACAATTTATAGAAAAGTAATAAATGCTGGCAGGTGTTCTTTAAAAAAGATTGGTAATTTCATTTGTAATTAACATTCAAGGATTTTATGGCATAAACTAAAGCTGATATATGTCTAAAAGCATAGAAATTAACTGTGCAACCATGATAATAACATGATGTAAGTGTATGACCACATTGTAACTGCATCATTATAGTATGAAATACTGTCTGGATTTTCACCTCATCATGACATAATTAAGGTGCACATGTTTAAGAAAATGGGTAGTAAAAAATTAACTTAAAATGGGATTACAAGAAGTTGTATCTGTGTGTATGAATATGGGCAAGCTTATATTTTGAAAATCCCTGCATAAGCTCAAATATAACTAATAAGTAAAAGATGGCAAATTGGTCAAAATGACTCAGACTGTAAACTATCAATTTAATGTGGCATAAGTACTTCATGCTTTGTTACCATTGTCATCTCACTATGATACAAATAAGATAAACTTTTCTATTATGGCATAGTCAAAGATCAAATGTAATCCATTCCACATGTTGATTACTTGGGGCTAGTAGTTACCTCCCTTTAATTACTCAGATCCAAGACTATAAATTTCAGATAAACAAACATTACCTTCTGTTCTGACTATATATCATGGGTTCTATCAATTTTTTTTTATTTCCTTCAGTTTGGAAGAATGAATTTTTATCTAAAAAACAACAACATTTCTTTTCTTTTCTATTACCTTTTTAAGAATTGGGCAGATTTATTTTGTTGGTTCTAGTAATTTCTTTCAATTTGAAAAATAACTATGTTTAAATCTCTCACGGGGGAGGCTAGTTCCCCTATTGTAAATGTAAAATAAAGGAATGTCCTTTACACATTCAACATTTTGTCAGACTGGTGATTTCTTACTTACCTAAATCGAAGGCTACCCATTCTCCTTCATCTACTCCGGAAACCAACGGAAATCTGTCAGAAGAGTTTTTCTTCAGTTTATACTGAAACGTATAAATAATCAAGCAATTAAACAGATGTATCAAGTAAGATCATATTAATTTTTAATTGGTAAATATGAATTCTAGATCTAAATGAGTATGACAAAAATAGAATAAGCCAAATGACACAGGAGCAAAACACACTAGTGTAGAATAAAGTAAAAATGCCAATAATTGAAAATGATGTAATCATTTCAGTAATATTTGTAAATTAAATACCAATTTAACTTGTCCCAAATACAATCTACAAGACTTGGGTTCCAGGTAATATATAAATTAGTTGATTGTAAACTGCCGATCACACTTTTTTACACAGACTTAGGACTTACGATGGACACAACGTTTTTGGTGATGGCTTTCATGTGACGATAAGACCAGGTGGTCACAATGACGATGTAGTCGCCTAAGTTCAGGTGATCCGGCATCCGTATCACACAAACGTCTTTGGCGTTTTCAGCCTTCAGTAAAACGACAAGTTCCTCAATGTCGTAGACGCCCGTAACTCCTCCTAGTTAACAAATACATTTTCTGTTAGTACAAAAACAATTTCAAAAGTATTTGCCAGCCCTCACACATCAAAATTGGAACATCATAAAATCATCTACCGCACTTTCATTTTGATGTTGAAAAGCATTATTGTGACAGAATAGGCTGGCTAAATCTAACTGTATGTTATCTTCAGAGGCTACTAATAATATAATATGTTGGGTCCCCTGAGACCTAGATCTAGAAATCAGGGGTTTTCTCTGCATCTTCTGCTAGCTGGACATCGAAGGAACTAAAACATTGCAACATTTCAGATATATTATTTTCTTTTTTTTCACTTCCTTATCCTTTCGTTACAGTCACTGGTAGATGTATATCTCCCCTTGGACCTATCACATTTATCATCTAATTTGACACACTGCTATACAGACGAGGCATAATAATAACCAATACAAACATTCACAATGTATTAGGGATGGGTAACATTATATTTTACAACACATACAACACCGCGCTGTCACACAAGGATGATCCTTTTTCACAAAATTGTACACCAATTGTAGCCATAAACCCAGCATATATACTTACACCCGTAAACCCATCGAACCAGACATGCACACCCCCACGCATACAAACACATATCTGCAACAAAGGACACCTTTCCTTCTTTCCACACACAGTGACACAATGGAATCTCCTTCCCATAGCAGCAGTACAATGCACAACACTAGAGGACTTCAAGGGACACTTACCCTATGCAACCCTTGAAGCCCTCATTACACGCTAAAACATACGCCAACTTTTTATCTTTTATCTATACCTTGCACAAAAAATCACCAAAAACCCCCAACTAATCACTGTAAATAACCCCCTTTTTCACGCCTCTGTTAGGACCCCTGAGGGCATAAACATCACCATTGTCATTGATGGAGCCCATGTATCATAAGAAGAAGAAGATACATTGAATACAAGTTTATTGCCCAAGAAGTGCCGACACTTATAGCAGTACTAGGTATGGTAGAAATTTTACTGGTTTACTTTTGATCATGACTGCAGAATTAAAGAATTGGCTGATGATTAGAAGAGTACAAAAAAGATCTAATGTATTTTAGGTGAAATATCAATAAAATGTCATCTTACTTTTGAGGTCAATTGGAGATTCCCATTGAGGAACTACTTCTGGTTCAAATGTGTCTGGGAATTCTTCTACTTCTTCAAAGCTTTCCATAGGATCGAGACTGATGAACCCTCCTATATCTATATCAGGTTCTGTTGAAGAAGACTGATGTTCCTGTGAAAGTTTACCACTTTCGTTTGTTCCTGCGGTAGAATCCTCATCCTCGTCTGAACTTGAACTGTCACTTGAAGATGATGTATCGCTATCACTACTACTTCCACTAATGTCATTAGTCCGAACTTTGTTTTCATCCTTCTTTTTGTCATTGTTTTCTTTCATAATTTCCTCTATTTTACCTACTTTACTTTCATCAAGACCTGCCGCTGGTTGATCTGTCTTAGAATCTGACGAAAAATCTTTTCTGATTTCTTTTAATATGTCTCTTAGGAATGGATCATCCTTCAGAATGTCATCATCTTTGTTGTCACTAAAATGACACGATGTTGTGGAAAACATCCGAAACCTTCCATCAACCGCACTGGAAAAAGGTTGACAACTTGTTGATGTAGAAGAGGAGCAAGTATTCCAGCTCTGGGGGCTGATTTGGTACTTCAGTTCTGAACTCATTTTAGTCAATTCAAAAGTGACAGCATTTGTCTTTCTTAAACGACACAAGTGTTTACATCTTTTGACTTGCAGAAGATTGTCCAATTTCATATTTCTCAGATGATAACTTTTGTTGAGATTAATATTTCTCAAAATGTATTTGCACATGCTGGTGCATGTCAATCGTAGGAATGGTAATGAAACCATTGTCAATTATGTGGAATTGTTGAAATTATTCTTCTGTGTCTGTGGCTTCATTTATAATTGAATTCAGAAGTAGAAACTGAAAGATGAACAAACATTAATTAAATTGTCTACAATATAAGCATATTTGCACCAATCTTTAAAAAAGGAAAATCCTTTATTCTACACTAAATCAGGTCATAGTATCATCTGACGTCATGTTTCTGTGTGTGTCCTGACCTTTTGCACATTAATATTTGCATACCTTTTTTTTTTTGAAGTCATCGCTTTTTGGGTAATTAAAGAAAACACTTAAATTAGGTAATGTCAGTGAGCATGTTGAAGAAAATGAAGCGAAAACAGGTAAATTAACACTGTTTTACTCAAAACCATATGGAAAATAAACTTTTCTCCTATTTCCCCTATAATCCTGCATTTGGACAACTGTCGTTGCAGTTATTGTGTTGAATAACAGTTTTATAACTGAAATTGAAATAAAGTGAAATGAAACACATTAAGGTATTTTAAACATTATGAATAAAAAAGGGGATCATTCTTTCAACATAATCCGATAAACACAATTGTAACACACAAATATGTTAATTCAGTTGTCAATTTGTATCACCTCAATTGATTAGTGTATTGTACAGTAGCTATAAATAGTGTACAGATAAAATCAAGTTCACCTGACACATTTGCACTGGATGATCACATTGACTACAAAACACTGAAGTCTCCACTAGACCAAGTCAGTGATTTGATATGTAAAAGAAGTGCATTGATTAGGTTGCCTTACAAGCATTAGCTGTAGGGAATCATCCCTTTAGCTCAGCATGCAGTAGAGCATCGGGTTGAAGAGAGAAGGGTCGCAGGTTCGAGCCCCAGCCACGGCACTATCTTTATCACTTTCCTCATCCTACTACAAACTGGTGCTGTTGACCGTCCCCGTTCCCTGTTAGGAGAACCTTTTGCGGGGAGTCAAAGAAGCTGGGTTAGTGATTGAAAAAGGGGGAAATAGTGTAAAATAAGTGCACTGATTAGACTGACTTACAAGCGTCATCTGTAATATTAGTGAATAACATTAATAAAATAAAAACATTGAAGATTAACAACATTTTAACATATATACAAATTGGTCAGTGGCCTTATGGTTTAGTACTGTGAATTGGCCCCTTCAAATGTTAAAGTGGAGATGCCACTTTTGATGGATTCAAGGGAAGTCATGCACACAGATTCTGGTAAGGTATTCCAGTCTGTAATTGTTTTGGGATAGAAAGAATTGTTAAGTTACCTGAGCGCTACAATCTGCTACTGTGATATGCATACAAATATTGTTTTTGTAAATGGAAAATGTACATCAGTGTATCCGGGAATGCACCCATCACAACACGGACTATCAACCTCGTGAAATGGGTTTTGTCAATGTCAATTCAAAACATTTTCAAAGCTGTCGTTTCTTCGTTTGAATAAAGCATTTAAGTGATTCCGATGTGTCACTTTTTATTCGTGGTCAGGTGAGCGCTGGCATACACGACGGTTTATCCCTGCATAGTTAAGCGTGCAAACGACCACGATCACTTTTAAAAAAAAGAAAAGCAATAGAAGGGAGATAGGTAATTTTGTTTATTGTTCTTATAAATATGTATCGAAATGCTCAATGACACCCATGTTTGATGTCGCTAATATATCACTAGACAATAACAGCAACATGTGCCTACAAAAATAGTCGACCATATGGAATTGAAACTTATTTGTAAGATGGTTGTATTTTTATTTTTTATCTGATGATTACGTATACGCCCCAATCACAGGGTCCGCTTGACACTGTCTGACAGATATGTTGGATGCAAAAGTTGCTCATTTAGCTGCAGAGAATTAAGGATATGTTTGAGAATGCAATTCTTAGTGAAAATGATACAAAATAGCTCGTCGCATCCAAACAAATGTATATACATTACATGTATACATATGTACATATGTATGTATGAGCCTGTGCTTCGAATTCCTGGCCCACTCTTCACTTCCAATTATGCTTAAAGCCTAGAATAAAAGCATAATGCTGCATTATATATTTAGTCTCATGAACAGATTTTTAATTTCTAATTTTCAATTTATGTAAAATAATCTATATTCTTTTTTCAGGCCTTGGGGACTTATTTTACATTAGATGGAAGTTAACTTTTATGAAGTTCTGAAGTGATAAGAAAAACAAAAGAAAGAATTGAAAAGATGGCATCTATAATATGGCTTCCAGTAATAGTGTTTATTGCCACTGCTTACCTATACCTCCTGTCTACACGACTGCCTGAAATGGATTACACTGGCAAAAATTGTACCAGGTATGCAAGATCTTATTATTTAAAAAGTATTTTTCTCAAATTAGATCTTTTCTTTTTGGAAATCCTTTACATTTTCCACTATTATCTACATAATAAGACCTCAAAATATATCCCAATTGACGACTGTCATAACCCCCTAGCAGCAACATTGAAGTCCAAAAGAACTATTTTCTTCAAAATGATAGGGCAGGGAATATTGGCTACTTTCATGAAAAAAATAAAAGAATGGTAATGGAGTACTATGAAATGTACTGAAATTAACCACCCACTTGAAATCTCATTGAAACTCCTGTTTAAATATAAGATCTATCTAAAGGTTTAACTGAAATCTATTTCATTTGTTTATTTTACCAGTGAGGACCTAAAGTTCCCACGAAATCTTCAGGAGTTGACCAGTCTGGCTGTTCTCCTTCAGCAATACAAGACTGACCACCTACCCTATGTCCTTCTACTGTTCTGCAGTGCCTACCTCTACAAACAGTCCTTCGCTATCCCAGGATCTGTGTTCATGGTAAACAATACCTTATACATATGTATCTAGTGTCGTAAAGCCTAGAATGTAAGCATAATATTAATGTGCACTATATACACTTGGTCTCATGAACAGATTTTTAATTTCTAACTTTCAATTGATGTAAAATAATTTATATGCTTTAATCAGGCCTTGGGGACTTACTTAACTAAAATTACATCTGATGGAAGTTTGTGAAATGGGTTTTGTCAATGTTAATACATAACATTTTCAAAGCTGTCGTTTCTTCAATTGAATCAAGCTTAAGCATTTAAGTGATTTTGATGTGTCACTTTTTATTCGTGGTCAAGTGAGCGCTGGCATACAAGACAGATTTATCCCGGAATAGTTAAGCGTGCAATCGACCATGCCACGATTACTCTTTAAAAAAAGAAGCAATATGCTTTATCATTGTTTGTACCACTATACAAAGATGAATGATATCATTTGACATAATGTTGGGTCCTAACTTGAGTTTTCTATGATTAGGTGTGTTTTAAGAGATAAATACAGTATTTATTTCCTACAAATATGTATCTAAGTCAGGTATATACTGTGAAATTATACAAGTCTTAAAAAGATAATTATGCAAGCGGTCAGGTCAGCAATTAAATATATTTTTGTGTCTCCATGCACTACATCATAAATAGTAAACAGGTGCTATTTATTCGGAAAGAAAATTAAGGTAGCCAATCTGATCTCAACTCCAATACATTATTTTAGGGAAAACATGTTAGATTAAAATTCCTGACATGTTCACATAAAAATAAATAAACAGAAGACCAATTCTGAATATTAAATAAATATAGACTGAATGGGCATTTTCGTGGGGAAATTGAGCTGAGATAATACCTTAGATGACTGACAGAAATGTGTGCTTGTTGTACTGATATTTAATAACCAGATTAACCACATAACTAAGTTATTTTAGGTCTTAAAATTAAAAGACACAAACAAATTTGCTTACCTTTGTTTGAGACCATCAATTTATTATGACATATACTATATTTAGCTAGGAATTTAATGTGGTTAACCTTTTTGTTTTCAAAACAGAATCTGTTAGCAGGTGCCCTGTTCCCGACATGGCTTGGCTTTATCATCGTTTGTACCCTGTCAGCCTGTGGTGCTACCTTTTGTTACACATGGTCAAAACTGTGTGGAAAAGCATATATCATCAGATACTTCCCTGATAAAGTCAAGTTTCTACAGCAAAAGGTAATGCTCAAAGTTATAATGACATAAATGTCATCCTGTCCCATTACCCCGTAAACTACTGTATGCAGGGACATTTTCGCCGCAGTTACATTTTCGCCTCTGTTTCGAGGACAAAAATTATCATTACAGCAATTATTAATAAATGATAACATACCTAGTAATTTACTGTGTACGGTAAAATCAACACTGGGTGAACGTTGGTTCCATATGGGTGAAGGGCAAAAGTTTGACTGGCAAACATTTCCCGGTATATAGTATATATTTCTCCTTTAAGGATTTTTTGACATTTAAATGTTCAAGTCCAATTTAAATTAAAAAATATTCAGTAAGATTTGAGTGACAGTTTACTTCCTGTCAATAATTGTGAAGGTACAGACATGTAACTTTGTTTCTTGTCATTAACCCTTTCACCCTTATGCAATTTTAGTAGACTCTCCCATGCATTGACATGGATGAGTCCATTATGGTCTACAGTGGTGAAAGGGTAAATGCATATTTGATTAATTAATATAAGTGAATATTGTTGACAGGTAAAAGAAAACATGGACAGTCTGTTTTATTTCCTGCTATTCTTGAGATTTTTCCCGATGACGCCAAACTGGTTCCTGAACATGGCGTCACCCATTGTCGACATTCCAGTACACATGTTCTTCTTCTCTGTGTTTATAGGTTTGTATTCCTGTTGGTTCCTAATGTACAAATATATAATTCAGCAAACGTGTTACTCTGACAAAAATATATATGTGCAATTTTCATGCTTTTTGCTAATTCCAGTAAATGTTAGTATGATTGATAGTAAAGTGATTTTCTACAGTAAAGTAAATGTTTTTTGACAGTAAACAATTTTTTGACAATTTTGTTGTTTTTGACATTAAAGTAAGCTATGTATTACATTTAAGTGATTTTGACATTGAATTAAGCTATTTCCGACATTAAAGTGATTTTTTACAGTAAAGTATGTATTCTCCACATTTTAGAGATTTTCAATGGTGAAAGAAGGTGACTTAAATCTTGTATATTTGCATATTTTCAGGTTTAGTTCCGTACAACTTTATATGTGTTCAGACTGGCAGTATGCTGTCTGACCTGCGGTCTATTGAGGATATATTTACACTCTGGACAATGGCCAAGTTAGGACTTATAGCCATAATGGCCCTAGTACCAGGGCTGGTCACCAAACGGCTAAAGAAGGACATCAAGACAGATTGACTGTACAGAGTTTGATAATATATTTAGCATGTTCTGTAAAATATACTTGCTACAGATTAGACATATTCATTTTGAAGTCTCACTTATTTCATTATCTATATGCTACTTTATACCACCTTCCTGTAGCATGATAAATTCATTATCACAGGTTGTCAGTATGAGAATACTCAAGAAGAAGTTGAGAACGACTTAAGAACAACTAGATTTTCCTTTTTGGGGACCATATGTTTTCTTAAAAAAGAACATCTGCTTGGGCCAGGTGAAGCCCTGAACGAGAAACAGTATCTACACACATGATTTCCATGTGAGAAAATATGTTATGAAAAATACTGTAAGGATGACAAAACTATTTTAAGCATAAATGTGCATATGGAGAAGCAAATGATGCTATTATTATTTTAAGATTATCTTTCTACAGTGTATAACCCTTTCACCCCTATGTAACTTTAGTAGACTCTACCTTGCATTGATCTGGATAAGTCCATTATGGTCTACAGCGGTGAAAGGGTTAAGGTTCATGGTATTCCTCTGCGAAGTCTTCAATTTGTTAACTTTTGTCACAGTCCGAGGATGTTGATGATCATGAAGTATAAAAGTCATTTTAGGGAGATATGATATTTAGTTGTCTTTCATGAATGAAAAAAATATATAAGGTAGTGGTATATAGATGATAAACAGTTTATCACACCAAGTTTTCAGTGTTTATTGGCTGAATGACAAACCCTGAAAACGCAGTGAGATAACCTATACGAACAACCTCATATTATTGCCCCATAGTGAGAATTGATCCATGAACAGCACAACAAGTAACAATTGATTGCCCATTCATCTGTAACATGGCCTTGTTCACTACTTTCTATTCCCGTTAGGGTTCTGGTGTAGTACATAGTAAATGAAGCCATATAAGATATCATTTAATTCAGATTAGCTTCCTTCACACCGGGGTCGGTTATAAACATGTTTTATTGCACAACAATCATGATGTCAGTGTTATAACACCCGTTACATAAAATGTGATATAAACACACGTATGATAAAGTGTAGCAGAGCTGTGATTGGCTGCACTGGTTCCCATAGTTGCAAATGTGAAGTAACAACTTCATGACATCACAGACTGCCAATTGCATTGTTATATATCCCATAAAAACGGCTTTGAGGACAATTGTTGATATTTTAAATTTCAAGTCAGTTTGCACAAATACTTGCCACAACTTTGGGTTGTCTGATAAAGATAAACTTATTATTAGTTATTTTCATTTCATATAAGATTTATAAACTCATCACATGTTAAATTGAAACTGATCAAAGACAGACTCAGTAAATTAAAATGTTTATAATAGAAAATCATGTGAGATACCCTTTTTAGGTCACCTGAGACAAAGTCTCAAGTGACCTATTGCGATCGCCTTTTGTCTGTCGTCGTCGTCCGTCGTGCGTCCGTAAACAATTTACATTTTCGACTTCTTCTCCAAAACCCTTGAACCAATTTCAATGAAATTTTGCAGGGACCTTCCATGGACAAAGGTCAACAAAACTAGTTGCCGGTTTAGTCCTAAGCCCCCAGGGGCCTGAGGGGCGGGGCCAAAAAGGGTCAAATTGACTAAAATTTCAAAAATCTTCTTCTCCAAAACCCCTGAACCAATTTCAATGAAATTTTGCAGGGACCTTCCATGGACAAAGGTCAACAAAA